AGCCCGCGGCCGCCGATCGCCGCGCTGCCCGCCCCCCGGCACAGCGGGAGCCCGGCGGCCGCAGCCGCGTTGCCGTGGGGAGGTGGGAGCCGCGTTTGGCAGCCGGGGAAGGAAACGTTATAAAAAGGCTTTGTCTCGGAAATCAGCATCTCCTCCTCGGCGCTGCCGGCGGCGGGGAAAGCCGCGTTTTGGGCTCCTCTCTTCTCGCCGCCCCAGGCATGTCTTGACAGAGCTGCCGTGTCCCTGCACTTCCGACGGATGTCTCTGGCTGTAGCGGCAGCGTTTGGGGTTTGAGCCTCGGCAGCCTGTATCGGTGCGGGCGTGTGTGAAATTCCCGTGATCGCAGGCTGGAGGAGGAAGAACTGGAAGAAAGGAGCAGTTGTGTCGATTTTTCTTCTTGCTGGGTCAGCCTTCCTGGATGGTCGCATTACTCTCTTGTGGACACATTGTCAAGCGCATACAGGGAAAGAGGCTTGATTATTTTTTCCCGTGATTGGTTTTCGTCGCGATCATCGTGCAAAAAGAACCACTTTTCTCCCAGTTTGCTGGTCCGCACTGAGGCAGCAGGAATATGCTCATGAAGGAGTACCGGATCTGTATGCCTTTGACAGTTGAAGAGGTAAGCTCTGACACCGCTCATTGTTAGCCTCTGACTTACCAGGGGTTTTCTTTTTCAAGGCGAGTTGAGGTTGTATTTGTTTTACTGAATATTTTTTCTTTGTGTAATGAACTTAGTCGGAGATGATTGGTTAGAGAGGAATGTTTTCATTGGAAAATAAGGGAATCCTGCAGGAACGAAGCTAACTTAAGTGTATCAAAAGCATTGTGTCGTCAAAATATGGGTTATAAAAATTTTCCAACCAGACTTTTAAGAAGAATCTTAGGCATATTTGCGAGGTAATGCTTTGTGCTGAAATCGTCTACCTGATAAAGCATTTGTCCAAACCCCAGCTTCTAAATATATCTTCACCTTTGCTTAAAATACCCTTGCAGATGAACATGGCCTGAAACTCTAGCACAGGTAGGGTAGATAGGTGATAATTTATTAATAGAACTTTTTTTGTCATTTAAAGAAACCGTGGGAAGTCAACCTGCTTTTTGATGGTGTTCTCAACTGTTAGGAGCATGATGTCTTCATTAATTTGCACATATCCTTCCTGTTTATTGTTTTAAGTAAGATAAATACCTACATGTGACACACGTGCTGTATGCCTATGAATAGGTGCAATAGGCACCTAAAGGCCTGATGGCATATGTAAATGAGATGGTGCTTTCAGGTCTATAGCGGCTCGCACGTGTAAAAAGAAGGTAGATGTTTTATTTAGCCGCTTATGCTATAAGAATGGACGTCGGAGAGGGGGAACAAACCTGCTCTCGCGCCGAACCCGCACCGCGTATCTTGCGCCGCAAAGTTTCCCTTCTCCCTGTGGGTGATGCCGGGACCGCCAGGGGGCGCCCTGCCACCGGCCGCGAGGGGGCGCCCTACCCGCGCCCCGCTCACTTCTCGCGGGCAGAGGCTCCGCTGCGCGGGTCTGCGCGGGGCGCCCCGGGGTCCCACCGCCTCCTCCGCGGCCGCGGGACCCTGCGGGCCGGCTGCCTGAGGCTCCGCCGGCGGTCCTGGGAGAATAGCGCTCAAAAGCAGAGTAAGACCCTTTTCGGCCCTCGCCCCCGAGGTTATCACAAAACACATTTACTTTGCAAATTATTTTACACGTTTTTTGTGTAAGTACATCCAGGTAAGTGCTGCACAATTTCATTTGATTTTTTGCAATCTGTGTATGGGAGTCCTCAGGAGTATGATAGAGTTGTCGTTTCAATGGTTTTTTTGACTGTATGTTCAGATTTGGCAAAATAACAGAGTATTCTAAAACTGAGAACTTAAACTGCCAAATATTTACTTCAGGCTGCTCAGGAAATTCCTTCTTCTGAGAGCAGGACCTAAAAACATCACATACGTGTAGGTTTAATTCTAGCGTTTTTCCAACCAAGTTATATAATATGCTATGGTATTGTATGATATTATTCTTTTAATATGTAATTTTGTTTGTTTATTGTATTATCCTAATGTAGACAACATTTTATCCAAGCCAGTTCCTGATGTCCTCAGACTGCGATACTTTGTTAATAACGTTCATTATGTCATCAGAAGGGAGCAGATCTAATTTATTTTGAAAAATTGTTGTTAAGCAAGATTTTCAGATAGAGAAAAGTTCAAAAATCTCCCAAAACAAGAACGGCTGATGTATGGTGAGGGAGAAGACAGTGTTGGAAGTCTTTTGTTCTAGAATGCTAACAGAATCAGTAAAGATACTCAAGTGTCTTGCAGTTTCTCTTATGTTGAATCATCCATTATTCAGTCCAAGAGCTGCAGCTGAGATGCCTTAATGAGGGACCTATGTCCAATATTTAGTAAAAATTTCATTATTAATTATAAAAAGAACTAGGGCAAAATTGTGAAGTTAGCAGCTGTCTTATTTTTTATAATACTATTTACATACTAAAAATATTCTGGATTGTATTTCTTCCCATGGTTCATCTTTGTGGTGTTTTCTACAGTCTATGAAGGTGTTATTATCTTATTTTTCCTTTAGTTGCACATTCACTCCCAATAATGTGTGATGTTTCTGGCATTTGTGAGAATAAGGTGATGTGTTTTGCAGCCATTAGGAAAAAAGCATGGGGCAATGCTCACCCTTCAAAAGCCAGCAGCCTTTTGTTTCTAAGAGGGCCAAACCACCTTCTGCAAGGAGCTAAATCACTCTGAAGTTCAGTGGGCTTTGACAAAAATGCGATTTCCAAAGGATATGCAGTTTCTTATAGGATTGGGATGTTGGGCCCTGCTCTGCACTTGGGTACCTAACTTGCATGTACATTACTGGGAGTTAAGCATATAGGTATTTTTGAGGCCATTGGTTTCAACAGGTATGTAAAAAATGCAGTTTGTTCTTACACAGCTGCATGGCTTCCCTTTTTGTGCTGTTTTTCTCACTCCATTTTTTCCATTTTTTCGGCCCCTGCACTTTTTACGTACATTCAAAAACATTTCCTTGAGTGGTTTTACTTTTTAGCACTGACTTGCTAGTTACCCATACATAGAAGTCTCACAGCATGAATGAGAGAGAATTCCAGCTTTAATCTGTGGTGTGGTGTTGTCACCAAAACCAGAGTGGCTTTCCCTGTCATTCCTGTGAAAATAATCAGTCACAGGAGGCAAAACGGAGTGTTAACTATGTCAGCCAAGAACCTGCACCCGATCTTCTGTAGTCAGATTTTGTGTGTAATGTGAAAAAAAAGGTGCATTAAAATCACAGAACCACAGAATAGCATAGATTGGAAGGGACCTTTAAGATCATCTAGTCCAACCATAAAAAAAACCAAAAAAACCCCAAAACAAACAAACAAAAAAAACCCACAAAGAAAACCCCCAACCAACACTAAACCACATTCCCGAGCACCATGTCAACTCGTCTTTTGAATATCTGGGATGGCGCCTCAACCATTTCCCTGGGCAGCCCATTCCAATGCTTGATAACCCTTTCAGTGAAGAATTTTTTCCTAATATCCAGCCTGAACCTCCCCTGGCGCAACTTGAGGCCATTTCCTCTCGTCCCATCACTTGTGACTTGAGAGAAGAGACCGACCCCCGCCTCTCTACACCCTCCTTTCAGGTAGTCATAGAGAGTGATGAGGTCTCCCCTCAGCCTCCTCTTCTCTAGACTGAACAACCCCAGCTCCCTCAGGCTCTCCTCACAAAACTTAGTCTCCAGACCCCAAAAATGATGCGAATGTCCAGTCGAGTAACTAGAATTCATTACTTTGCATGTAAATAAATATGCACACAGCAGTATAGCAATTAGTATTACACTGGCAGACTATTGGGACCTAAATTTATCCCTAGAGAAGAGTTAAATTAAAATTGTGAGATGTCACTGTAACAGCAACACTGTCTCCAGGTTTGAAGAGTTTCTGGCATTGTTGTGGATAAGAGAATTCTGCAAAGCTGTTCTTCATTAGCTACTGCAGGTCCTGTTCTTGAGGCATTCTTCCTTGATTCCCTTCTTAAATAAGATACCCAAATATTTGTGGGAGTTTTGTTTGTGTACCTGTCAGCTTGGAGGCCAAATACTTTCTGGCAAATAAAACATTTCCTAAGAAATGCTGATTGCTACAGACCCAACTGCTTTTGTGTGTTTCAAGCTAGGATACAGGAGTCAGAGGTACAACTTTGTTCCCTGTCTATAAGCACCAGAAAAGACAGGTTGTTCCCAGTTTGCTAGGATAGTGTGGCACCACACTACGGTTCTTATTCAAGGCTGAGGCTGACTCATTAAACTAATTTTTATTGATAGTTATTTAGGACTCTTGTATATATATTGTTGCAAGCTGCCTGATCAGCTTTAAAACAATTTGAGAAAAGAAATATCCTGTTAACTTCTAAGCAAAATAATAACAAATCTGTGAGAACTTTGCAAATTATGTCAGAATATAGCTGCTGATTTAAGAAGACAATAGGATTGCCAATTAGAAGTCATTCTTTACCTCGTTAATGGTACTTTTGGGAGGCATGCATGCCAATTCAATCCTTTTGTTAACACTGAGACCTTATAAATTAGAAAAAGCCACTTCTTTTCATTAATACATAAAGCAACTAAAATGTGTTGTAGTAATTACTTAGGATATGTTACCAGTCTTCATCCCAGCTGCAATTAATAAATGAGCCTGCCTCTCAGTTGTTTTTCCCCTTGCATTTTCATGTGTTAGCTCATTCTTACAAATAGTTTGTTACATCATCTGAGAGAATATTATAATAGGCTGCATTGTGGTTTTTTAAATATCATCAGTTAAAAAACCACATTCCTAAGCAAGTGAAAAGAACACCAAGCAACTAAAAAGAGCAGAGATGCTAAAAAATTCTCAGACTCGGGTCTCATTGTGAATCATAATTCCACAATCCTTCCCAGGAAGGATTACATGGTTCTGTGCTTTAGAGATGCCTTTATCTGAAAATGTGAAACAAATCTGATAAGCTAGCGTGTTACTGACCTTTTATTTTGGAAGAGGCAAAGTACAGTGATGTTTACAATTTGTGTGGAAAGTGATTATTCTTTCTGGGAATCGGCAGAAAGATATTTTTGCTGAATCCCGTTGAAAATGGGGTTGTTATTGCTATAAAATGCTAATAAAGATATGAAGCTAGGTTTTATGTATTTAAAAGCTGAACATAAAATAAAATACAGTAGTCATCGTAGGGTTTTTTCCTTGGAAACAAGGATGACCATTAACATTTCTGTTCTGAACTTCACATGTATGGCCAGTACTGAAAGTCCTAATAGATTTTTTTCTTTGGTTTGTTCTTTATTTCAATGAAGATCTCTCTCTGCTGAAGTTGGTGGAATTGCTCCCATTCTCTGCTTTAAATAAAAGCTAAGTTTGCTCTGTGGGGAGCACTGCCTGCATGAGGTGTGGGGGAACAGTTGTATCGTCATGAATACAAACAAGCAAAGACCTGCAAAATGTCCATAAAGGCAGATCATTATTTTTCAACAAAAAAATCCTTTCAACGTGAACAAATTCTGGTTCTAGAGGTGTCATGCTTACTCCTTGGTAAAAATATCCAGT